ATGAGGACGGCCAGCGGGGCCCTGGGCATGGACAGCGCCGGGCGGACACGGGTGAGCGCGGAGACGGGCGGGGAGGGACCCCCGGGCTCGGCTGCACCCCCGGGGCTGCGCCCCCAAGATCCTCCCGCACCTCCGGGGGTCATCCCCGGCCTCACCCCCACCTCTCCGGGCTCACCCGCACCCTGCGGCTCCTCCTGCACCGCCGGGCTCCCCACTCATCCCTGGAGCTGCATCCCCGGTCTCGCCCCACATCCCCGGTCTCGCCCCGCATCCCTGGTCTCGCCCCGCATCCCCGGGGTTCACCCCGGTGCTCGTCCCGCGTCCCCGATGTGTCCCCGCATCCGCGGGCTCCTCCCGCATCCTCGGGCTCCCCCAGCCTCCCGTTTGGCCGCCCCGGAGTGCCCCGAGCTCCCCCCACCCCCAGACAGGCTGCGGGGTCTGGAGATCCCTGGGCTGCCCCCCGCCCCTCCCGGAGCCCCGACATCCCCGGGGAGGGCCCGATCCGGGTGGTGAGGGTCTCACGGGTGCCCCCCCGGACACCTCCCTGCTGCCAGCAGGGCCGGGGGTCCCGGGGGAGTCCCGGCGTGGTCCCGGGGGTTCCAGCTGAGCCCCCACTTTGTAGGAGGCCTACATGGAGTACCTGAAGAGCATCACCCTCATCATGCAAGCCCTGCAGGAGGAGGCGGTGGGGACAGGTAGGGCAGGACCCCCGACCCCCCAGCCCTCCCCCAAACCAGGGGGGGTCAGTGGGTGGGACCCCGACACTTCCCTCCCCACAGAGAGCAGTGAAGGGGTCACATCCGACACTCCGAAGTTGCTGAAGCTGGCGGAGCAGTGCCTGGAGAGGGTCAAATCCATTGCAGCAGTGCTGGGTGAGTGATGTGGTGGGGGTCCCATTTTGGGGAGCTGGGTCTCCCTCAGGACAGGGGCACAGCTGACCTGTCCTGTCCCCCTCCCCAGGGAAAGCCCAGGTGAAACCGGCTGTGCAGGAGCAGGGAGGGGGCCCTGCCCCCCTGCCCAGGCACCGCCGGGTCTGCTCGGATGAGGGGGGGAAGCTCTCGCCCTTCCTGCCCCCGGAGATCTTCCAGAAGCTGCAGATTGCAGAGGCACAGAGCGCTCGGAAGTATGGGGGGGTAGAACAGGGAGGGTGGTGTGGGCTGAGACATGGGGTGGGACATGGGGGGCTCAGACACGGGGGGCTGGGACAGGGGGTGTTGGGACACAGGGTGGGACCCAGGGGCTTGGACATGGAGGGATGGGACATAGGGAGCTGGCGTGGGCTGGGACACAAGGACTGGTGACTGCCCCTACACATGCCTGGGGGGCCGTGGGGTGGGCTGGGAGCCTGATGTGTCCCATGCCCTGCGGTGGGTGCTGAGGCCATTCCCACAGGGAGCTGACCCCGCTGGAAGAGGCCTCTCTGCAGAACCAGAAGCTGAAGGCAGCCTATGAGGCACGGGTGGCACGGCTGAACCCCAACCAGGCCCTGCAGAAAACATCCCTGGCAAGTAGGGGGCTGAGGAGGGGCTGGGAGCAGATGGAGCCGGACAGAGCTGGCAGGGAGTGTCCTTGCAGTGCTTGGGGGACCCCCTGCTCCCCACTGGGGAGAGTGTGTGTGTTCCCAACACTCCCCTGTTCCGCAGACACTGTCCCTGCAGCGGCAGATGATGGAGAACCTGGTGATTGCCAAGGCCCGGGAGGAGACTGTATCCTTCCCATGGGGATTGCTCTGAGGGCCGCCTCTGGCAGAGCCTCTGCCCTGTCCTTGGTGTCACCAATCCCTCACAGGCCTTTGGGGTCCTGGCTTGGGGGATGGAGGAGGGTGAAGGGCTGATCCAGCCCCAGGTTGTCGGTGCAGGGGCTCCAGACCCTTAACTGAGCTGTGGCCCAGCTGCAACGCAAGATGGAGGAGCGGCGGCTGCGGCTGCAGGAGGCAGCAAACCGGTGAGTGGGGATGTCACCGTGGGGACCCCAGGGCCAGGGACATCCTGGCAGTGCCCTCACCAGCCCGGGGTGTCCCAGGAGGTTCTCCAGCAATGTGGCCCTCACCCCTGAGGAGCAGGAGCAGCGAGAGCTCTATGCCGCCATCCTCGAGTACGAGCAGGACCACGTGAGTGTGTGCTGGGGGATGCTGAAAGGGGGCAGGGGCCTGTGCCAGGGGGCAGGGGGCCGTACCATGGGGCAGGAGACCGTGCCATTCCCGTGACCAGCCATGGACGCTCCCCAGGACTGGCCCAGGCAGTGGAAGGCCCAGCTGAAGCGGAGCCCGGCGGATCTCTCTGTGGTGTCAGGGCTCTTCTCCTGCCTCCTCAGGTACTGCTGGGGTGGGTAGGGCCCTGCCCAGAGTGGGGGGGCCATGGCCACGTGCCAGTGCCTCCCACCCACCGTGCCCCTCTGCCTGCAGCTCCCCCGAGCACCCGATCTCGCAGCTCCTGCGGCGGCTGCAGTGCACGGTGTACACCCGCCTCTACCCTGCTGTCAGCCAGGGCCCCGCTGACGCCTCCCCTGCCTCCCCCTCGGGCCTCTCCTTCCTGTCACTGGATGTGGGGGGCGCAGGGGGCTCCTCCCTGCCTGCTGAGCCGGGGGGTCGCCGGCTCCGCGCCTCCCGCAGCCTGCACTGCATGTTCTCGGTGCCTGAGCACGGCCCGGCCGCGCTGCGGCACAGCCAGTCCAGCACCCCCCTCGCTGACGCTGGCACCCTGGGGCCCGCAGGGGGCCCCCAGACCCCCCGAGAGAGCTCCTTTGAGGACCTGGAGCGGTTCCTGGCATCCCCCGAGGGGTGGGCCCCCGCGGAGCCCCCGGCTGGCCCTGGGCAGGACACGGCGCTGCCAGAACTGCTGAAGGGCATTGTGAGGGACATCCACAACGCCATTGGTGAGGGGCAGCTGAAGGAGCGGGGGCAGGACAGGGGCTGTCCGTGGGCTCTCCTGCAACCCATTTTGACTCGGGGTGCAGGGTGGGCAGGACGGGGGGTACAAGTGTGCTGCGTGACTTGCCCTCCCCAGACAGGCTGCTGGCCCTGACCCTGCTGGCCTTCGAGGGACTTGGTACCACCGCCGGCAAGGACCAGTGCCTGGCCTGCCTGGAGGAGGCCTTCTTTCCCCCACTGTGGGCCCCGCTCCTGGCCCTCTACAGGTACCATGACCCACCCTGGGGATGCCAGGCCCCATCACCCCCTCCTGGCAGCCCCTCCCTCACTGTGTGCCCACAGGGCCGTGCACCGGCCCCGTGAGGCGGCCCTGGCACTCAGCATGGAGCGGCACCGGCATGCCAGCCCTGCCGACATGGGGCTGGCCTCCCGCCTCTTCCCCATGGCCCCCGGCCGCCCCCCCTACGCCTCCGCGGTGCAGGACCTGCGGCTCATCCCTCTGGAGACCTGTCCCCGCAGGAAGCTGGAGTGCATCGGTGAGTGGGAGGGGAAATGGGGCGGGGGGAGCAGGGGTTGGCAGGTGACCCTGAGCACCCACCCTGTGCCACAGTGCGAGCCCTGCGTGGCATCTGCGAGTGTGCCGAGGAGTACTGCGGTGCCCGGGACACCCGGACCCCCGCCTCGGCCGCCATGTGAGTGCAAGGGGCACAGGGGGCAGCCAGGCTCACGGCCAGGCAGAGCTGGGGCGGGGGGAGAGGGGCAGGTGTGGAGCTGGGAGTTCCTGTGGCTGGTGTTGGGGCCCCAGTCCCCGTTGCCACCATGGCTGATGGTCCCTGTTGTCCCAGTGGGGCAGACGACCTGCTGCCCATCCTGTCCTACGTGGTGCTGCAGACAGGGCTGCCCCAGTTGCTCTCCGAGTGTGCTGCCCTGGAGGAGTTCATCCACGAGGGGTACGTGCTGGGGGTGCTGGGCCATGCGAGCACCCCTGGGCTGGGTACACTGTCACCCTTCCCAGGACAGGGCTGCCGGGGTGGGAGGTGTGGGGAGGGGACATGGGTGGGAGCAGCAGCTCTTGTGAGCACAGGGCTGCAGGGTGGTGGCCATGATGGTGTGGTGGCTGTGATGATGTCCTGGCCACAGCAGTGCCCCAGCCATAATGGCACAGTGGCTGTGATGGTATACCAGCTATAATGATGTCCCATCTGTGGTGGTGTCCTGGCTGTGATGGCATGGTGGCTGTAGCAGTGTGCTGACCGTGGCAGAGTCCTGGCCACGACATTGTGATAGCAGTGTCAGTGTCCTGACCATGGCTGTGTCCCAGCCATGATGGCATGGTGGTGCTGACAGTGCAGTGGCCATGATGGTGTGATGGTGGTGTGGTGGCTGTGATGGTGTCTCAGCCATGGCAGTGTCCCAGCTATGATGGCACGGTGTTGATGCAGTGGCCATGGCAGTGTCCCAGTGGTGCCAGTGTTCTGGTGGTGCCAGGTACCCGGTGTCCCGTTGGTGACAGTGCGGCGGGTGTGGATGCAGGTACCTGATCGGGGAGGAGGGGTACTGCCTGACGTCCCTGCAGAGCGCCCTGTCCTACGTGGAGTCCCTGCAGTGAGGAGGGGGCAGCGGGGGACCCCCGACACCGCCGGGCAGGTGCTGACCGACCCCGGGTCCTCCCGGCCACGGGGGGGCGCTGTCGCGCGGGTTAGCCCCGCCACGGGGGCGGAGCCACGGGCGGCTCGCGCGTTCCGGGCCGGGGGGCGCGGAAGGGGAACGGGAGCGGCCGGGACCGGCAGGTGGGGGGGGACCAGGGCCGGGGGAGGACACCGGGGGTGGCTGTGAACTGGGACCGTGGACTGGCGGGGGGAGACGGGGCCGGGGGGCCCTCGGCGGCCGGAGTCCCTGTGCTGAGGCTTTGGCTTGGGGTCCTCACAGGTTTGGGGGGATGCTAAGCTAGGAGGGTCTCACGGGTCTGGGTGCGGGGGCTTCAGGGTCTGGGGTCACAGGGGTTCTGAATCTCACAGGCGTGGGGGCCCAGGGTCTGGGGTCTCAGGGGCCCTGGGGTGCCAGAGCACGGGGTTTGGGTGCGGGGTGGGGTCTCACGCTGCGGTACCCCAGGATGTGTGCGGGCTCGGCGATGCGGCAGGAGCACAGGCAGGAGTACGGGCAGGAGTTCCGGCAGGAGTTCCACCAGGAGTACAGGCGGTGCCTGGAGCAGGAACTCGGCCCCGCCGGGCCCTGCCCGGACCCCGCGGTGGCGGAGCGGCTGCGGCAGCGGCTGCGGCAGGAGCCGGCGCTGCTCGGGGCCCTGCAGGAGGACGGCCCGGCCCTGCTGGCCCGGGGGCTGCGGGGCCAGCCCGACCCTGAGCTGGCGCTGCGGGGCCTGGCTGGCGCCTTCCGGCTGCTGGAGCTGGCGGCCCTCAATCTCTACCTCTTCCCGTGGCGCCGGGAGTTTGGCACCATCCAGGTGAGCCCTGCGGTGCTGGGGGGATGCTCTGGGGGGATGCTCTGGGGGTCTCCTGACACCTCTAGCTGTGCACCTGCTCTCCCTGCAGACCTTCTCCGGCGCCTTCGTGCACCTGTTGCGCCCGGCGCTGCCCGAGGCCGACCTGCTGCGGAGTCTGGGCCGCCTGGGCTACGAGCAGCAGGACCAGCACCGCCTGGCTGTGGCCCGGCCGCCCCCAGGGCCAATGCTGATCGCAGCCGCTGCCGGGTTCCTGTGCTGCCGGCTGGAGTGCGAGATCCTGGGGGAGCTGGCGCTGCGGCTGCAGCCGCGCCAGCCCTGCGCCGAGGAACTGCTGGAGGCACGGCACCGGGCCAGGGACGGGCAGAGCTGCCCGGAGCTGCTGCGGGACCCAGGGATGCAGTGTGGGGCGGCTGCTGAGTGCGTAGATCTGTACCGGGACACACTGGACATCCCCGAGGACATGGGGGGTGAGGACACAGCCCCCCCAGCACGGTGGAGGGACCCTCAGGACGTGCCCGTGAGGGGCTGGGGACGCTGTGATGAGCCGGAGCCTGTGAGCAGTGCTGAGCCAGACACCTCTCACCTCTTCCTGGAGCAGGAGTTTGCAGGGGGCAGCAGAAGCCCCCAAGTGCTGGGGGAGCCCCAGGATTGCCCCCAGGATGCCCCGGAGCTGCCTTGCTACCAGCTGCACTCGTGCCTGCGCCGGGGCACGCTGCCCTCGTACTGCTGCAGCACCTGCCGGCAGCTGCACACAGGGGGCTGTGCCACAGGCCGCGCCTGCCGCAGCCGGCACCACGGGCAGGAGCTGCGTGGGGAGCGCCAGCAGCGGCTCTGGCTGCAGCGCACGGAGCTGGACATGCTGCTGGCCGACGGCTCTGGACCCCACTCCTAATACTGCTGGTGGAAGGGCACAGGAGGGGTATGGCCACTGCCTGGCCCCTGCAGCGGGAAGGGAACAGGGATAGCCACGGCTTGGCACAAGGACTCCGGACTCATCAATGCCCCTGAGATGGCGGTGCCTGTGCTGGGCTCTAGGAGGAGAGGCCCTGCTCCAGCCCCAGTGCTCCCACTGTAAATGACTCCATGCATCAGTAAAGCAGCTGCCTCAGTGTGGCGGTCTCCTGTCCTGGGGAGGGGTGACCTGGATCCCTGGTCCTAGGGTAGGGACAGGGCCTGTGGTGCCAACCATGGCCCCCTGGGAGCAGCTCCTGCCTCCCCCAGGGGAGCAGGGCCAGGATCCACTTAAAGAGGGGCACAGCCTAGGGTGTCACAGAGGTGTCCTCATGCTAAGGGTCTCCTTATCCCCAGGGAGGGATGTGGGGCACACAGGAAGCATAGCAAGGCCATGGTTTCTCCCAGTGCCTCTGGCACCAAGGCATGAAGCCATTCACTCCCCCTGTTACCAATGACGTGTTTTTATTGACAGCAAAGTCGAGGTTCCCCCCACAGGCAGCACTGGCTGAGCCCCACATGGGACAGGACTGACCCTGCTGATCACAGAGGGCTCTGGGCCCTGTCTATCCACTCTCCTTCCTCCGGTGCTGTGCTCCCCCAGCCCCAGACTGGAACCTGCCAGTCCCCCGCAGGGAAATGGATCTGGGTGGTGTGCTGGGAACGGACAGAGCCCACAGTGCCAGGGCTGTTGGGCTGAGGGAGGATGTCTCAGCTGGGACACACTGTGCGTGCCCCCACGGATCAGCTCAGGGCTTGCTACGCTTGGCCTGGCTCTCTGGCCCCGTGCCTGCTGCCCGCTTGTTGCGGTGATGTGGGAAGGTGGGCATCAGCTCTGGCTCACAGGCTGCAGAGCACAGAGGGGGTCAGCAGGGCCCAGAGCACCCCAGCCCTGCCCCAGGAGGGGGGTACTTACGCAGGGGCTTCTCCTTGAAGTAGGAGCTCTCCAGGCAGTCCTTGGCTGTGGCCCTGTGGGGACAAGGGGATGTGACAGGTACCCCCTCCCTAGCCCAGGGGACAGTGTGAGGCAGGTTCCCTGCCCTGCCTGGCTCATACCTCTTCTTGGGATCATACATGAAGAGAAAGTTGAGCAGACGCAGCCCAGCCTCTGACAGCCAGGGGAATCTGTGCTTCAGGTTGTTGTAGGGCTGCTTCCGGAGGGTGTACTGGCTGGCCAGGGGCAGCTTGGAGAAACCCTGGGGGAGTCAGAGTGTGAGGAGGGGGCAGGGAGCAGGCAGGGATTGGCAGGGAGAGCAGGCAGGACTGGCAGGGAGCTCTCACTGGCCAGATGTTCTCGTTGGGCGTCCCCAGCAGCTGCACGATGAGGTCGATCTGGTGGATCTCGGAGGTACCTGGCAGCAGTGGTTTGTGTGCCAGCAGCTCGGCCAGGATGCAGCCTACGGCCCTGAGGAGCACAGGAGGAGCTCTGCATTAACCTTCCCTGGTTTGCAGCCCCCCCCAGCCCCAGCCTGGGCAGCCCCCCTTACCACATGTCGATGCTGGTGGTCTGGGTGGTCATGCCCAGCAGCAGCTCCGGCGCACGGTACCTGCACAGGGGACGCTCCGTGGCAGAGCCGGCCCCCCTGTGAGCCACCCCTGCCCCGCTGTGGGGACTCACTCCCAGCACGGCCACTCACCACAGCGTCACCACTTTGGGGGTCATGGGCTTGGGGGGCATCCCATAGGTGCGAGCCAGGCCGAAATCAGCTGCAACAGAGACTCCGGGTCAGGAGGGAGCCAAACTCTGAGCTCCGGCCATGGCACGGAGCAGATGGAGCTGCCAGGACTCACCTATCTTCACACAGCCCTTGTCAGTCATCAGCAGGTTGGAGACCTTCAGGTCCCTGTGGGGCACAGAGCGGTCGCTCAGCACCATCCTCAGCATGGCTCCTCCACACCCTGGAGCCGAGCCATGATGAGGAGAAGCCAATCCCATCATTCCAGGGCCTCCCTGCCCTGCCGGTGCTCCTACATGGAGCCACTGATGGGCACCAAACCCTCAACCGGAGCTGCTCAGTCCCGGGCTCTGGGAGGTGCCCCCTGACACCCCCTTCCCCCACCAGCTCCATCCTGCTGCTCCCACCTGTGGATGATGTAGTTCTCATGGAGGTACTGCAGGCCCTTGAGCACCTGCAGGATGATACACTTCACCTGCAGATAGAGAACAGGAGCTCCAACCTCTGCGGGAGCAGCCCCATCTGAGAAAACCTCTGGAGGTCAAACCCACCAGGGTGTCCTGCAGCACCCCCAACCCCATGTTCTCCCAGGGGTTCTGGGGGGGCATTTTCTCCCAGCTCCATTTCCCTGCCAGTCTGCTCCACCCCAAAATCCAGGCTGGAAAGTTCTTGGAGGCTTCTGTGAGAGGCCAGGCTCCCTCAGAATCCCTGGAGTCCCCCAGCACAAGGTCCAGGGAGCCCCCTGTGGTGCCGGGGGTGTTTTGGTGGGAGTGACAGCATTCTCTCAGGGATGCTGGACCCAAATCCTGACCCACCTCATACCTGAGCCTCTGAGAAAGGCGTCTGCATGTTCTCCAGGAGGCTAGCCAGGTCCTGCTCACAGTAACCCATGACCAGGAAAATACTGTCAGAGACAAAACATGGTCAGAGCTCCCCCAGAACAGGTCTGTGTGCTGAGGGGGCTCAGGGGCCTGAGGGGGGCCTGGAAGGCAGAGGGAGGACAAGAGAGTGGACTCTTTGCTCTCACCTCTCCAGGTGGTTCCCCACAACCACCTCCTTCAGCTCCACGATGTTGGGGTGCCGGAGCTGCAGGAGCAGGGTGATCTCCCGCAGGCTGCTGATGGGCATTCCTGCGGGGAGGGAGGAACAACTACTTCAGGACGGCTCGGAGCCAGAGCTGGAGCTGCGGCAGCCCCCATTCCCCTCCTTCGTTCTGTACCATCTTTCTCGTTGTCCATCCGCACCTTCTTCAGTGCCACCGTCTCGTCTGTCAGTGTGTCCCGGGCGCGGTCTGGAGGCAGCACAGACCACATACACGTGGTTTGTCCCGACCGCCGCTGAGGAGCAGCCGCAGCCTCGCCCCCCCCCCAGCCCAACCCGCCTCCGCGGGGGTGGAACTGGGTGGGCTCAAGGACCCTCCCCACCCCAACCGCGCCGCGATTCTGTGAGGGGTAAGGGCTTCTCACTCACACACGATGCCGTACGTGCCCTCTCCGATCCGGTTCAGCTTCTCGAACTCCTTCACGCTGCGGCACCGGCCCAGCTGGAACCAAAGAGCCGCGTCCAGGCGGTGCCGCCCTGGAGGCTCGTCACCGGGACCCCCCACGCGCTCTCTCACACCCGGGGGGACCCGCTGCGCTCACCCGGTCGGCAGCCGGCACCTCGAAGAAGCCATCGCCGCGCAGGCGGCGCAACCGGAGCGGCTCCAGCTCGGGCTCGGCCGGTGCCGGTCCCGGCTCAGGCGGTCCCGGCTCAGCCCCTGCCGTCGTGTCCGCCATGGTGGCGCCCACCCTGCCGCATGCGCCGTGCCTCCTGCACGCAGACCCCACCTACCCTCGTTGCCCCTGGCAACGGTTGCTCGGGAGGGACCAATAGCGGCCTTGTCCTTACATGGCCCCGCCCCTCTGTAGTCCCGACAGTGCCGGCCCGTCCCAGCCGGACCCCGCCCCCGACGTGTGACACGCCCCGAGATGTGGTCCCGCCCATGTTTAACCACGCCTATCTGTGCATTGGCCGCGCCTCCATACCAGTGGCCCCGCCCCCTCCCGTCTAACCCCCCTCACGCCCCCGCGGCTTTGTCTCTCTCGCGAGACTCGGCTCGCGCCCCCCGGAAGCGGCGGATGCGGATCCCGGAAGCGACGGCGGAACCCGGAAGCGGCGGCGGGACAGGATGGACGGTACTGGGGGGCTGGGCCGTACCGGGGGCTCCCGGGGGGGCTGTGGCTGGGCCTGAGGGCGGAGCTGAGGGCGGGAGGCAGGAGCCGGGACCGAGGGCCAGGACGCGGTTGTGGGGCTCCCGGTTCCCCGGTACCCCGATCCCCCGGTCCCGGCCCTGTCGCTGACGCTGTGCTCTCCTTCCCTTCCAGACACGCTCTTCCAGCTGAAGGTGAGGGCACAGCGGAGGCCCCTCCGCCTCCTCTCCGTCCCGTCTCACCGGTCTCGAGATGGTCCCGGGGCCGGTTCCACCGCTGGTTCGGCCTCATCGGGGCTCCTCCTGCGGCTGGACCGTCACAGGAGGAGCCCCGACTCGCGGGACTGTCCGGGGGTGCCACGGGCAGTGGGTCGGGCAGCCGAGGCCGGTGGGAGGTGGCTGGGCTGGGCTGGGCGGGCACTGGGACTGGGACACGGGAGGATGGTTCCCACTCCAGAGGGTGGGTAGGGTGGGATATGGGGAGAAATCCTACCCTGGGAGCGGGGGGAGGCCCTGGCTCAGGTTGTCCAGAGAAGCTGTGGCTGCCCCATCCCTGTAAGTGTCCAAGGCCAGGTTGGACAGGGCTTGGAGCAACCAGGGATAGTGGACGATGTCCCTGCCCATGGCAGGGGTGGGACTGGGTGGTCTTTGAGGTCCCTTCCCACCCAATCCGTCCCATGACTCTGCCCCTGTTTTCCCCAGTTCACAGCAAAGCAGCTGGAGAAACTTTCCAAGAAAGCTGAGAAGGACTCCAAGGCTGAGCAAGCCAAAGTCAAAAAGGTGGGTGGGGGCCCATCCTGGGGGAGCTCAACTCCGTGGGGACAGCTGGAGATCCCCACTCCTGCTCTGGGGGGGCAGGGAAGGGGCAGGTCCCCTCCCAACCCTCCATTCGTGAATCTGCCGGGGGGACGTGGCACATCCAGCAACACCAGGAGGGGTTTAATTCCTGACCCAGGGCATTCCCAGCTCCTGGGGGAGCTGTTCCCTGCTGGAAACCCCCCACTGTGGTGGTTTGAGGCCATGGGGGGGTGTCTCTGAGCAGGGATTCCCTGTGTCCCAGGCCCTGCAGCAGAA